CATGCACACAGTGCATCTCACCAACAGGCTCAGCCCCCCCCCTTCCATGCATACCTCACCCCCCACTCAGACTCCCCAAACACACAGCGCACCCCATCCACAAGTTTGGCCTCCCATGCACACAGTGCATCTCACCAACAGGCTCAGCCCCCCCCCTTCCATGCATACCTCACCCCCCACTCAGACTCCCCAAACACACAGCGCACCCCACCCACAGGCTCGCCCTTCCCATGCATACAGCACACCCCATCCACAGATTTGCCCCCCACGCACACAGCACATCCCACAGATTCACCCCCACACATATACACATACGTAGTGCACACCATCCCATAGGCCCAACCACCCCCTTACACACACACCCCTACAGGCCCACCCGCTTTATAGACACCACCACCCATATATGCACAATGCACATAATCCCCTAGGCACCGCCCCCCCCCCCCATGTACAATGAGCATTCTCCGAGATCCATCTCTTCTACACACAATGCACACTATCCCCCAGGCACATAGTCCACATACACACACTGACTATTCCTTCAGATCCACCTTCATACACACACAGTTTACCCAACCCCACAGGAACACTGTCCGTATAAACAGTGACCATTGCCACAGGCATACCCCATATATTACACAACAAATTCAGTCCTCAGGAATTTCTATACCAACTAGCCTGACCCACCCCCCCCCCACCCCCATATACACCCAATACACCCAACCTACAGAAAACTGAGCCAGCTTTTTCAAGTGCAAGGTGAAATGGGTCCCCACGACACCAAATGTATACTGTACTACTCGGCGGCCACCAGTACTTTGAAGTAGGCCAGAGCTTAAGCCAAGGGTAGAAGTGCCACAATGAATCTCAGCAAAATCTTTCCTCAGCTCAGGAACTTGCTGCCCTTAAAAATGACATCATCACACCTCTGGTAAGGGAGTTTCAAGGGCACATTGGCATGGTGAAGTGCTGTGATACTGGGCAGTCCTGTTTTAACATGATGTAGCTGTCTATTGATGCTGTGCTAAGAGATATTGATATGGGTCACCTGTTTTGATGTAGTGTATCATTGTATTTACATAGTCTGATACACTTTTGATAGTGTGCCACAATTTTGCACTGTATAGCACTGCATTAATCAAATACAGTCATTTTTAGGCACTTGTCACTGTTTTGACACAATGTGGCACTTTGGATGCTGTGCTGAAGTGTACAGATGTATTGTGTTCTAACATGACACAATGCCATTTCATTACAGTGCAATACCCTTGTGATACACAGCATCTCCATTTTGATACAGTACCCTCTATCATTTTGATGCAGTTGTCACTATTTTGAGGCAACACAGTACCAGTTTGCCATAGCACACAGGTGTCCATCCTATGGCCTGCAGGCCGTACATGGCCCACCAAAGTATTTCATAAGGCCCATGGCCTGCTTCAACACAATATACTAACGGCTGACTCATTAGTGTTTTATTGTCATATTTACATCATTTGAGTTTAATTATGTGTTCTTTACTGTTTTTTTCCTGTTTTCTATCATTCTGATACACTTTCTATGCACTGATTTTTCTTTATTTTTAAATAGACAATACTGTACATACATACGAATTACTGTACATACGAGAATCTGTTTGGCCCTCACAAGGTTATGCTCAGGTTTATGTGGCCCTCCTGTGTAATAAGGTTGAGCGCCACTGCCATGGCACAATGACATTTTGACCCTATTTATTGAATATATTATGATATTTTGATGCAATGCCTTGAAGCTATATGACATGGCATGTCAATAACATAATCTAATGAAGCTTTGATTCAGCTCCACAAAGTACTGACAAAACATGACAGAATAAGTGAGAAGCAAGCACTGAGCAAATGCAAGAAGACAAGTTCTAAAAGGCAGCATTGGGGTCCCTTATCTTGGCATTTATTTTACAATCAAGTCATGAATTGACATTTGTGTCACATAAATTTCAATTCCCTCTTCTTCCCTCATGGCTAGATAATATGTCTCTCTGAGTTTAAATAGAGACCAGAGAGCTGGTTACAGCTTCCTGATTCAAAAGCTTCACCCTACACTAGCTGAGAACAGTGGATCTTTTTCCCGCCCCTTACCTGCCTACATCATGTCCCCTTACTCTTTCAATACATCCCTTTCCGGGGCGGAGGGGGCAGTCAGTCAGTGTAGGAGCAGGATGAGCCAGCTTTACACCATCCAAGAGTTGCACAATCATGCCCATAAAGTGTAACAGCCAAGAACAGAGACAATTTCAATTCCTCCTTACTATTGTGATTCAGTAATGTGGTATTTGCCTAATAGTGGAGCAGAGGCAACTAGGTTTCCTGCTAGTTTCAAGCATTCCATAGAGTTCTGAAGTACAGACAGTTGTCATTCTCATCTTTAATATTAATTCCCAGAAAGAGACTATGTTAAAGTATATTTAGAGTTAAGGTTGAGTACATATCAGTGATATAAGGGTAAAAACATTCCTTCAGAATATCTGCTTGTTTATATCTGTTTATGATCTGCTGCAAAGATTATTTTCCTAACCTGCCACTTTGACCATGTCACTCCTCGTTTGCATCTTTCCACTGTCTCCCACTTCTCTATTACATCAAATATAAGCTACCTGTCTTCAGTTTCAAGGCCCTTCACTGCCTATCCCCACCCTACCAATCATCTCTCATTCATTATCAAGATGTCAACTCCTGCCTGTGATTGGCCCATGATGCCAGCCTCTATCGCCCACTTGTTAAATTTTCAAACAAGCACCTTCATGCTTTTTCTCATGCTTGGGAGGAGCTCCCTGTAAACATCCTCACAGCTACCTCATTATCCTCCTTAAAAATCCTCCTAAATCTTTTCTTTTCCGTGATACCTATAAAAAACTTGACAGTGGTTAGGCTGCTGGTGTGCTGAGACCAATTGCTGACCAATATTCTCTCATTGTTTCTTTGTACTCTCCCATGTATCTGTTCATATCCATCTGTTGTCTCTTGTCTCACACTTAGATTGTAAGCCCTCTGGGGCAGACACAATCTTTTTGTTCCATCTACAGTGCCAAACACAGTTGGGTCCTGGTTCATGACTAGGGTTATTAGACTATTGGCTATTAAGCAAGATGATCAGGGATGCAACCCCATGCTTTGAGTGTCCCTAAATCTCTGACTGCCAGAAGCTGGAACTGGATGACAGGGGATGGCTCACTTAATAATTGTCCAGTTCTGTTCATTCCCTCTTAAGCATCTGGTATCAGCCACTGCTGAAAG